CAGTTAATGGTAATGTCTGACTTTAGTAATGATGTTAGCTAATGGTGAGTCAGGCTTTGACACTAAACCTTTTCCGGCGAAGTCGTCGCAACGAGCAGAGTATTTGAAGGATACTTTTTGAAGGGGTATTTTGAAGTTTTGACAGAATGTAGTTTGTAAGTCGTTTCATATCGTAAACTCTCTGAGTATTGACGTAAGTGGTGTTTGTCAATAATTCTTTCCATCTCTTCTGAAGTCTTTTGCATTCCTGACTGTATAAATTCAACGATGGCATAATATTTCCTCTTACGTCGAATGTAACGTTGAAGAATTCAATGAGTTCACTGTCTGGAACTTTAACGACAGAGGCTTGAACTTTTGACATAATGTTTTCGCTGTTGAGTCCATAGAGTCTGAAGTTGCTGAATATAATGATTTGTCATAATATGAGTCATTTCCTAAACGTTCTGTTTATGAGTATATGACGAATGAGGTTAAATGTCTTACCTGAACCCATCTGTCCACAATAGAAATACACACCATTTGAACAGAATTCATAATCTTTGCTGAAAGGAAGAATGAGAGAAGAGTTAAGTTTTGTCTGTAGTTTCATTCATGTCTTCATCTACGTCATGTATTAAATGCTTCATTTTATCTCCATTAAAAGGCAAGTCAGAAATATTCAGAACATAGCACCGAGTCTAACTGACAAGAGTATAAAGATATACTATGAACACGTTATGATGAAAACCAACCAAAATTCAAGAAAGTCAGTATACTTATGAATATCCAAGACACTGGGTAGAGTATGTAGGAGGTGAGAAAGCTATTGAAATAAGACAAGTTAGAAGTATTCCAGCAGGAAGGACAATATTTATTGAAGAACTTTAATGTTTTGAGATATAATGATGAGACAAAGAAGCAAGATAGTTTCCTATTGCTGTGTATGTGAACCTAGACACAGGAGATGACATGAAAGTTTTTAACACAAAGCTTCAAACGGTAGTGAGAGAACAACTGACTGCGGAAGGACGATCCATTACCTTCAGAAGTTACCATAGCATATAATTTTGAAACAAACTCAATAGATTTTAAAGTCATCTCTGCAAAGAAGTCAGGTTTTACATTTAATGAAGCAGATGTATATTCGAATGAAAACTTCAAAGCTATTGCATGGTTAGATAAATGACGATTGCTTTAAGAAAAATATTTAAATTCAGTGACTCAAAGATGTCAATAGATGACCTTCGTGGAATGTTACCATCGACGTTTACAGTAGAAGGTTCAGCAGGATTTGCTTACAAGATTGTCAATTGGTGGTATTTGGTCTCGTGAGAACATTGTTATAAAAATCCAGTATAAGTGAATTTGCTGAAGAATCTATATTATGTCTTTCAAACTACATGTATTCGCCGCCGAAGCATTATAGTATAACAAACTTTGTCAGTAAAGT